GCAATCACTATTAGATTGTATTGTATAAATTACATGTATTCATTACAAAATGTTGATTTAATTTAAAAAAGACCTACTCAGTTAATTTGATGTATCACTTAATTGAAATTAGGGATTTTTTTTCAAGGGTTTTTATTTCATTTTTTAGGGTGATGATTTCATAAAATATGATAAACATTTGGAACTTCAGATTTTAAAAAATGACATTAGGTACAACCCTTCATATATTTGTGTTTTTGAATGTCCGCTCCTCTTTTTTTTAAAATTGCCGGTCCCTGTCCTTACTCTCTCTGACTCGCAGGTTATGTCAAGTTACCTCCTGAGAAGTTTGCGCAGAAGAAGCAGGGTGAGGCGAGTAAAGATTTACCCACAGAGCCCAAGAAGTTACAGCTCAACTCGGCAGAGGAGCTGTATGCAGAAATACGGGACAAAAATTTCAACGCTGTCGGAGCAGCGCTCAGCAAGAAGGCCAAAATAATTTCAGCAGCCTTTGAGGTTGGTCTTGCATCATCTTTGTTGCTCTAGCATATTTACCTGCTCTGAAATATTTATAGTGTAATGTTTGTTACAACAATGTAGTTTCAATGCCTAATGCTTCCAGAAAGCTATGTTGGATCATCTCTAGACATATCAGCTGATCTAATGTGATTACAGTCTCTGGCATTTTACCACAAAGGTCATAACAGAAATCCATGAGGTGAGGGAAGTGATGACAATCACCCAGAGATGAAATACAGTACTAATTGTACGAGGAGACTGCTTAACAAGGCCAAACGTATTATCAGCACAGGTATATTGATTGTAATACAAACTGCATTAGTAGAGACTGTTTATACCTTTGATGCACCATCAGATAGCAGCAAGCATGAGCAGGCTCTTTACTCATTTAGGGACAGGCGCTTTCTATTAGAAAGGTTTCCGGGAATACAATTATTGTGTATTTTGTCATTGTCTGAAACGAATTTGTGCAGATAGACACAGAACTAAAATAGATCATTGTGTGTTTGTGGGAATTGTATTTTATAGAAAAAAACTGAAGAAGGGTTAAACTGTTTTAACTACAAACATAATTTGATAAAGATCAACAGCTTCCTAATCTTGTTTTTGGTCCATTTTGATGCCACGTCCAAACCTGTTTTACATCCTATTTCACCTGCTGACGTGCTGTGTGAATCACCTTTTGTGGTAAATGAATTGGATTCTGCCATTTAAATGCTGTTTTTCTGAGCTGCACCATCAGACAGATTAACAGCATAGCAAATAAAGTGATATATGAATATATGTTGTTTGTCTTTCAGGAGCGCCATAATGCTAAAACAGTGGGAGAGATAAAGCAGTTTGTGTCTCAGTTGCCTCACATGCAGGCAGCTCGGAGCTCACTGGCCAACCACACTTCTATAGCAGAGCTGATCAAGGACATTACAAGTAAATAAGCCCTTTCTTTCCCCCTTAAACTGCTTTATATTAAAAAATGTTTTGGTTGCTTTGGAATATCATTATGAAAATTTCTCCTTGTTTTGAGGACTGTAGAATTCTGTATTTCCCTGTTTATACTTCACTGTACATTCAGTGTGTCATATAGGCTTTTTATAATGTGATTAAATCTAACTCATGTCTCTTGTTTCAGCATCTGAGGCCTTCTTTGATAATCTAACAGTGGAACAGGAGTTTATGACCGGAGTCGACACAGACAAGGTATATTTTGCCTATCTACGCACTGTTTTTCCAAAGCTAATCTGTCATAAAACAGTCTTTCAGTATGTACAGAGATACACTGTGGTTTCATATCATTTTACCACAGTTAACTGAAATCCTCAAAATAATAGGAAATGACTTATTGCATTTACTCTTCATGTTTTGTATCTGGCACTGATTTTAAATGAGAATTTATACAATGAGAAGTTTTGCTAACGTGATTTATAAACTGCATTTATTGGTGCACTTTAGTTCTGATTAATGTTATTTTGCTATCCAGGTAAACACATATATAGAGGACTGCATTGCCCAAAAGGATCCACTGATCAAGATTCTGCGCCTGGTGTGTATGCAGTCAGTCTGCAACAATGGCCTCAAGCAGAAGGTGTTCGACTACTACAAGAGGGAGATTCTCCAGGTAAAGTCAAGTGGTGGTATCTCAACTGCGCCTCTGTGCACACACGTTCCTGCAGCATCAACAAAAAATAGTATTGAATTACACTGTAGTGCGTAGGCTTTTTTCCAGTTGTATTACAAAACCTAAGAGAACTGTGTGACCTCTGGCAATCTCAGCCAACATAATCATCTTTAAAGAGGCTATGGCACATTTTTAAGATCAGGTAGTGGTGTCATGGTAAACTAGACAACCAAAGGCATCAGTTGTTACACATCGCAAAAACAAAAATGGGTCTATGGTGGGTTTCCAAGGGTTAAATGAATATTTATAATTGTTGTTGCCTGACTTTTTTAATAATGCCTTCTTTTTTTGTCTTTTGTGAAGACCTATGGTTATGAACACATTCTAACACTGAACAACCTGGAGAAGGGGGGTCTTTTGAAGCTACAGACAAGCTCAAGGAACAACTACCCCACCATCAGAAAAACCCTCAAGCTGTGGATGGAGGATGCCAATGAACAGGTACGAGACTCATTAAATAAAGGACTTTGAGGATTAAACCCATGCACTTTGAGGATGATTTTGACCTTTCTTACTGTGTGTCTTTTGGTTCCCTCAGAACCCAAACGACATATCCTATGTGTACAGTGGCTACGCGCCACTAAGCATCCGCCTGACCCAGGTCTTGGCCAGGCCCGGGTGGCGTAGCATCGAAGAGGTGCTGAAGATGCTCCCAGGCCCACACTTTGAGGAGAGACAGCAGCTGCCTGCCGGGCTTCACAAGAAACGTAAGGACCAATGTAAACCAGGTCAACTGTTTACCCTGCTGCTCGCTAAACAGAATAAAAGTAAACGACCTCCTGCCTGCTGCATGTAGATAAGACACAGGCTTTGTTTTTGTTGAGTCAAATACTGAACAGCAGCAGATTGATGGCACAAAGCTGACAGTACCCCAGAGCTGCTGTCAGTGTGTGTGTGCATGTTTTCTGTGTGTTTGTGTTGAAGAGAAGGCTAGACAAAAACATGCTGTGCTTCATTTGTCAGTGACCAACCAGTCAGTTTTCCTCGCTCTTTTCATATTGGCAGAAGGAGGTGTTACACTGATGTGAATAATAAATTTAATTATACACTCAATTTGAAATGTGCTAATTAGAAGAATGAGTTTGGGCATTAGATAGTTGACTTGTTTCTACAAGCCTGCCTTACACTGGATTTTAAAAGGTGATAATAGAAGACTCTAATCTAGGGGGAGGGTGATGGCTAAATTAGTGTTTTCACATTTCAAAATATGGTGCTTTAGTAGAGGGAACTTGGCCCTCGTTTACATTCAGTTGTATTTTATTAAAGGGAGACATGGCAAAAATTTGATTGAAAGGAAAACTTCACCTCCGAAATGATCATTTGTACAGTATATCAGTTGCTCACCCCATGTTACGTTGAATTCATGAAGTAAACTGTTTTTCTTGAGGAATCCAAAAAATCCAGTCATATGCTCAATACCTCCCAAACACGTGCGTTTTTGCCAAAACTTTACTGTTAAAAGACTCCCATCGTGTTTTCCTCACAAATTCAACGTAACACAGGGTGAGTAATTGATATACAGATAATCATGTTGGAGGTGAAGTATTCCTTTCATGGTTAATTTAGTTTTTCCATTTTTGTTTGACTTAAATGTGTCTCCTTTTCTGTCACACAGGTCAGCAGGGGGAGAATCGGACAACATTGGTGTTCTTCCTCGGCGGGGTGTCGTACGCTGAAATAGCCGCTCTTCGTTTCCTCTCTCAAATGGAAGACAGCGGGATGGAGTATATCATAGCAACCACAAAACTCATAAACGGTACAACTTGGATCAAATCCCTCATGGACCGGCCTGAATCCCAGACCCCCTGAGTCACCTGCACATACACCTGGCCACATCAAACACCCCATCCATCCATTAGAAAACCTCAGCTGCTGTTTTTTTATGTTCATATCAGTGTACTGCAGGTGTTTCATTGATGTCTGGGCAATAACAGGCTCTTTAAAGGTGCCCTGTGGAGTTTTCTTTTCTTCGTTCAGTGTTGCAGACCAAAATGCTTTGTGTGTGTCCTTGAGTCCTTAAAAACATGTTTAATGTATTTTGTTCTTTACAACATTTGCAAAGCTGATTTACTGAATATTTTAAATCATGCATTGTTATAGCCATGTTTACTTGCTTGTTCTTTACTACAATTTTTCATCCGCTGCCACCACCAATATGAAGATCAGTGTAAGAGTGCGAAGCCGGCAGTAGGAATGTGCATGATACAAACAAAATGGTGACACACTTGTTAAAACATTGCTCCATAGTGCCTCTAGTGGTCATAAATTCCACAGGGCACCTTTAATTTCTCCTAGTCCGTAGTTTGCACCCAGACAATATAATATACATCTGGTTTAATGCTAACTGTACACCCATTTGTCCTCTGGCTACATGTTAATCATGACGTCATTGCTCTACTATGAAGCAACTGTAAATATGTATGATTAAAATCTTTGGGATGTTTGAGATGATGTCATGTATAAGATGATTAATTTTTGAAGGCTTTTGCTGGCATAAAAATACATAAATAAAGTCTTAACTGAGATTAGTCTTTAATTTCTTGATCACGTGAGAAGCCATTTTGCTTATTGTTCATGAGATCATTTTTGGAAAAGTCAAGCTGATTGTGATCAGAGACAGCAGATGAAAGGCAGGGATGGGAGTGTATCCGTCAGCAGCAGTCCAGCTCTCTGAAGGAGCAATTAGCGCAGTAACAGGCCTCCCGATCAGCCGATAATGGCCCTCTGCTGTCTGGAGAGCTCAGCCCACGGCAGCCCATGATTTGACAGCGCAGGACACTGATTGAATTAGGAGGCCATTTGCTCCGTGTTCCGGTAGAGGGTTACTGTGCTACAGGAGGGTGTTTGATCTCTGTTTCAGTCAATACCCTCTCCGTGCCTTACACTGTGAACATAGCGAGACCTGCTGACAGCACTCAGATATTTTTGGTGAACTGCTCTCAGGCAAATCTTTGTTAATTTCCTCTGTGTTGATTGGCCAGAAGACTTGGAAACTGCTTTGATTTGATGAACTGGAAATTATTTGACTCTGTACATTTGCTCAATGGCCAAAATCTTACCCAGCAGTTCCTTTTGTTTGAGGAGCAGGTGCACTGAAGACTTCAACTCCCATTAGATCAATCCCAGGGGATTCAGATCCGTGATCAGTTATTGCTTTTGGCTCCTCCTCTGACATGAGGGCTTGAAATGCTCAAGGCAGAACACACCAACTTGGACTTCAGGGCTGGAAGCAGAGGAGCCCACTTTATGATCAGCTCCTGCCCTGCTCCAACACCAAGGTATGATTGGTTTAAGTTTTTCTCTTGTTTATTCATCCATTTAAATTATATTGTGAGCTTATTTGTGATTCATGTGATGTTTCAGCTTAGTTTAAGGCGGATAAACCTTTATGAGAACAAGATATTAACACAGTTTTGCATAAAACTGACATTGTATTAACATAACTTGTTCTATGAGACATAGCAAAACTGTTCATATCAGCATGATTATATTTATTCTGACTTCAACATGGTTCACATTAGCTTGACTGTAACTTCTGGAACCCGAGGAAAAACAATGCAGAGATTCTTAGCTGTTTTTCAGCCAAGGATCCCTTACAAAACAGAGAAAAGACAAATCAATCAAAGGCAAATCAAGAGAAAACGATCATTTGAGGTGCTTTTCAGAAAACACACACACACAGACCCAAAGAAATCGAGGTGAAGTGTTTCACTCTTTTTTTTTAGATTAGAACATAATCTATTAGCAATTTTAGATTTAAAAATTAAAGTATTTGTTGACCTATGAAGCCTTTTTAAAAGATTTCAAGATTTCATATCATGATCATATAAGTTACTGAAAGACTTGAATGTTGCTGCATTAATATAATTATTATTACTCAGCAAACTGCATATCCTACAGCTTCAGCACGTCTCCCTGAAAATATCTGCAGACAGTTAAAGACATCATGAAAAATGAATGCTGAAGATGTTCATCAGTCTGTATTGTTTGTGACTACAGTATACACAAACAAAGCAGATCAATGCTGAACCCACTTAGTGCAATTTACAGATAAATTATTAATGGTGGTCTTGTGACAATGCAGCCTCTTCAGCTTCTGCAAGGCGAGGGACAAATCAGTTTCCACCTTGAACACATTTCATAATACATAAAGCACCAACGGTAAAGTATTTGCTTTTTATATGTGTGAAATATATGTCATTCATTTCTATGTTATGATTTTTGTGTTTATTTGATTTAATTAATTAGAGTATTTGTGTCGTTGTGTGCAGTGTATGTTTTAATGAACATTTAGATAGGCCACCTTGGTGGACGTTGCAGTTTTCTGTTCTCTTGTATTCTGTTTTGTAATTTCAGAAATGTGTGTTTGCAGAATGGGTCGAGGTGAGAACATGGGACACCTGACTGAACCTGGCCGCAGGCAGAAGACACAGCAGGAGCCTCTGGATGTGGACCCATTGTTTATCCGCTTCCTCCGGACGTTCAGGGAAATCCTCAAATTTGTTCTCTTCAGCTACACAGTGCTGTTTGGTGCTCTGCTTCTTGCCAGATGGACCACTTATTTCATGGTGGGGAAATGAAAAGAAAGTGACTGTTGGAGAATGAACCCGTCCACGGACTTAGAGCTTATTAATGAAGTTGTTGAGGCAGACCTTCGTGGGATTTGTGGTCTATGCAGTTGCTATAAATTATTCATGTCTCCACACACAACAGTAACAGCTGGAATGATGATGCTTCCTTATTTGACTCACGCTCTGCAGTATCACTCACAGCTTTTGTACTTTTTTTGGTTTGTCTTTAAATAATCCAAACAGGGTTTTGCAGGCCTATAGAGCAATTTAAACAAGACAGTTTGCATCAAATGTGTTTGTTTATAGTGCTTAAATGTGCAGTATAGAAACTGTGGTATCTGCTGAGTCACAAAATGACTCCAGTGAAGCTATATAAAACATGTCTGTATGGTTGTGTAGCAAACAAAAAACAGTTCTGTGTAATCATGACCGACAAAAGCTTGAAAGATGTTTTTCCTTGAGAAGTACATATAAAGTTTGACAAAAATGTTAATGTAAATAAGGCATAACAACGTCTCCAGAATGAATTGGCAAAACAAAGATGTCCCTTCTGACAGGATCATGTGTGTCTGGGAAAGCTGAATTTTTAAACGGACATGGCGGACAGCTGCCCTGGGGGAGTCTAGGCTCCCAGAGGGCCTGAGAGTTTACTGTATGGGAATTAATTTATGATAATTTAATAAAGTGCAAATAGTTTTGGCGATATTGTATGCACCACCAAAGCACTGTATAAACAGAAATGATTTGGGCCTTAAGGACACACCTGCATTATTACCTCATCTTGATGCCCTTTCCTGTCAAGTTAAAATCTGTGTTTGAGGCCTTTATTATTTCAATTTATATTGTGCTTAGATGGAGCATATTCCTAAATACATGTGTGATTAGTCACATTGCCAAAAACAGGTTTGCCTCTGTGGTTTAGGGGTTAAGATGCCGGCCATGCCAAATGTTCTCAGTTTGTTGCATCTAATTCCTTTGCTTGTTTCCTGTTATCTCTCTGCTAGTACTATCATAACAAGCATAAAATGCCTTAAGTAATTATTGAAAAATCTTAACCAGAAACTTAATAATACTCACATGATGGGAAAAGAGGAGGACTGGGAGAGGGATGTGTCAGTATGGACTCAGAAGACATTTTGACTTGTGACAATGAGAAAAGCACAGGTGTAAATAATAAAATGAATTATAGCTGAATTCCATTTAGCTGCTTATGTTTCAGTGTCCTGGTATTGTGTATTCTGCTTCACTGTCACATTGTCGTGGTTTACTGGGACATTTGAAAATAACAAAGCCAGTGCTAATATTATTAGCAACACCTCTGCTTTTCCAACCATGACAACTCATATCTGTTGTCACCAAGGCCTATAGGGGTCCACTGCAAATGTTTTGCCTTGGGGGCCCAGTGCAGGTATATGGTATGTACCTGAACTTCACTGCATAGGAACAGTTAGTTTGTCGTTCACTTTGCATTCATACACTGAAGTGGCCCTTTCAGTGTGGCATCCTCCAAAGCTGATGTCCAGCAGGTGCACAGAAACTGCAGCACATCCTGTTGAAGCTCAGTGGCACGTACAGGTGGCATTTCCTCGGTTTTTGGGTGATTTATGAGTGCAGACACTAATTTGCTGTTTTTATGTGTCAGGATTAGCATCTTAAAATGTGTTCAATAAATATTACTGACAATGCTGCTTTATATATTATAAATATTAGAATTATCTTTAGTTGCCATTTGAATTAAATATTTAAAAGTTAAAATCAAGTATTATTCTCTTAATTTAATGTGTGTTGTCACAGGGGAATAAATTAAACTTTAGATTAAATTTAGTTCAGTTTTATGGCTTCACTTTTGCTGTGAATCTAAAAACTATCGCTGCGAGCGCGGGTTTGTTCGATTTAATTCACTTAAACAATCCACGCGGGCGGGGTTTAGGAATTACATGTTTTATTAAAGAACTCCAAAGAACTTTTAATTAAAAACTAAACGCCCTATGAGTTAATTAATCATGTGGTGTCCGAGGACAGGAAAAAGACCCAATGTCGCTGACGGCACAGGAGCCAGCCAGATGAAAATGTGATGGTGCACCCTCACCGCTCTCCGTTTGATGCCTGCTGGCTAAACGCCACCCGCGTTGCGCCATTTTGAAATGCTGGGAGAGGCAGAGGCGAGGGAAATCTCAAAGTAGAGTGCAAAGTCTGAAATTCAGTCCTGAGGATTATAGTTGACTTTCTTTGGTTGAAAAACTGCTTCGTTCTGTCTGTATCAACTGGGCCGACGACTTGTACGGTGTGCGGAGTTAGGAGCAGCACTCCCCGGTTAATTCCTCCACTGCTCCTCGGTCAGAACCACCCAGCCGACCCGGGTCAGCACTGCTCCAGTCCAGGGCCCGAGCCCGCTACAGAGATAGCCTCTGTCTGAGCCGCTCACCATGGCAGGTAAGAGTAAAGAGCAAATACTGTCAAAGTGTTTGGCGATTAATTATTATTATTGATTGGTTAATATCCTGTTCAGCACAGATGATGGGTTTGTCTCTGTTGTGGTTAACCAACGCAGGCTAGCTAGCATGCTAGGATACTTCCGAGATGCTAGTGTGTGTCATTGACAGTGTGAAAGTGAGAGTTTCCCACAGCTAACATGCTTAAACTATTTCCCGTGCTTGGGAATGTGCTACGCTAGTTAAAATATGTAATGTGTATCACATAGCTGGCGGTCTTGCTCTCATATGACTGATTTTAGCTAAGTTAGCACCAGGCTAAAGCGTGTGAAGTTGCCTTTGATGGTGGTTAAAACTTGGGTCTGTATTTCGTTCAGGGGCCGGTGGTGGGAACAGTGAGGTGCAGTGGTGCTTTTCCCAAGTCAAAGGAGCGATAGACGATGATGTCGCTGAAGGTAAGTCCATGTGGTGGTCACTGGACAGTTGCTAACCTGCTCTGTCTGAATGGCATCCTGTGCATGCTTGTTTTGAAGTTAGCTTCAATGCTACTGCTAATGTTATACTCTCTGCTTGAGTTTCATGCAAAGTTCTGTGACTGATTGATATTTTTGAAAATGAACTGTTTGCATTGAAGTGAAGGGGTTATTTGTGAGGCACATAACTTGGTGATAGTTCAGTAGGCTTTTTAAAAACGAGTAAAACTGGCAGACAGCTTAAAACATTTATCTGTTACGCATAATTGCTGCAAAATGTCAGCAGTCACTACTTATACGATTCAACACAAAGAACTTGTATGATGTGTTTAATATAATGTTTGAATGCTTGGGAGTGAAATGCATACCTTAATTGAACAGTCAGGAAGTTATTGAAGCAGTTCGATTATGTGTGGTTGAGCTATCAGTTTCACAGAGTGCATTTAAGTCCAACTTTCAAAGGGACTGATCAGCCAGATCAAATTTAAACATTCCCCCTTAGCTCTATCTGTATCCAGTCATGCAGATGGTCTTTAATCTTGAGACTTCTATTGCAAAACAAAAACAATGGTGGAAAAGAGAATTTCATTTGTGGTCTCTTGACAGCAAAGTGTCCTCAGAAACACTGTCTCGGTTACTTAGATTAATCCACACTCAGGACAGATTTCATTGAACTATTTCCTGCCAGATAGTAGTTCCCAATAGAAACCATGGATGACAATGGTGTCTGTCATTATCCTGACTAACCAGAACATTGTTTCTGGAACGACACTTTGTTGTTGCATTTCTCAGCTGCCTGCATGGGTAGATACCAGTAGATAGTATGACAGAATTTTTTTTTGAGATATGGCTGAACTAACCCTTCCAGTGCTAGAGGTAATATTAACACAGTAGATGTGGATATTTCATGCAAATAAAGTACAAAACATTGGAGCCAATGGAGGAGGAGATTTTATGTAAATATAAACTATACTCTAATTTCTGTATGAACAGGGAAAACCAGTCGTGTATTATAACAGCCCCTTTTCCTATCGTCCAACACGTTAACTCACAAGTGCCCTAAACACCAATGTTTACAGTACATGATGGGCTTATTTGTGTGTAAAGGACTACACAGTTGTTTACAGTAAGCTTTGCTTGAGAACAAGTATAAATATGAGCCTCTCCCTGTGTCAATACATAGCAGTACATGCAACAGTATTTCAGAAATACTCTCCTTTACTCAGCCCTCCTCTGCTTTATATGAGAGTTTGTATGGAGTCAGATCGTATCAGGCACTTTGTATGCTGTGTCAAGGGAGAAACAACACCATAGTCTATATTAAGGATTGCACCCGCTCAGAATAGTGCCAGCCTGTAAAGGGATTGATTGTTGTGCTGTAGGATTTAATGAGAATGCTCGTCTTTGAAAAGTGCTGAATAGCTGTAAATGGCAAGCCCCCACACCCAAGAGTGTTCAGGAGACTTTAAGTTTCATTACACACTGTAGTGTGTACATATATATACATTTACGTCACTGCTCTGTTGTGTTTTCAACATGGTTGACATGGTATTCACCTCTAACAGGTGGAGAGAGGTGGAGCAAACACACCATATCTTTAATGGTGCTGAAAGATTTTTGTTGATGATTGGAAGGAAATGAATCATTGATGCATTACCAGTTCAAAATATTTCACATTGAACACGCTTCAAATTTATACATCAGGCCCCCTGTTAATTAGCAAATAAGACTCTGAAACATTGATGATGTTCTAATTATAATACTTAATTGACAGCTGACATCATATCTACTGTTGAATTCAACCACTCTGGGGAGCTACTAGCCACTGGAGACAAGGGGGGTCGTGTTGTCATCTTTCAGCAGGAGCCAGAGGTGAGTTTTAGTGGCTTATCAGACTAACTTAAATGTGTAGAAACAGTGCAGTCTTTGATTTTCACATTTGATAAATTCATAATTTTGTCAAGCTGCTGGTACATGTTTTTGAGTTCAGAATTTAAGCTGAAAATAACCATTTGAAATGGGGAAAAAAATACTGTGGCTTCATCATGCATTAGCTGAATCGCTGACGCTTGCTGTCAGCATAGGTCTATTTCTAGCATAATGATACTTGAACTGAATTCTGATCTGTGGTCTGTCATTGTTTAGAGTAAGAATCAGCCACAGTGCAGAGGAGAGTACAACGTTTACAGCACTTTCCAGAGCCATGAGCCTGAGTTTGACTACCTGAAAAGCCTTGAGATCGAGGAGAAGATCAACAAGATTCGATGGTTGCCTCAGAAGAACGCAGCGCAGTTCCTTTTGTCTACAAATGGTTAGTATAGCAGCTTATTCTAATTAAATTGATTCACTGTAGTAAGTATGAAATGGTGAATTGTAGTTGACTTAAACCTTTCCATCAGGCCTCTGGAGACAGCAAGTAATCCAAAGTTACACAGTTTCTTTAGTTACTGAAGATGCGTTTTTATGATCTCTGCTCTTCCTCTTTTGCAGACAAAACCATAAAGCTGTGGAAAATTAGTGAGCGTGACAAGAGACCAGAGGGCTACAATTTGAAGGAAGAAGATGGGCGCTACAGGGATCTTAATACTGTCACAACACTACGGGTGCGTATAGATTTCATAATCACTGTCCCCAGTAATTTTGAACATGTATGTATTATTAACTGTCTTATTACCCATGTGTTAAAATGCTGTACTTGACACTACTCTGTTGGCATCATATTATGAGCCTTTAGTGAAGTGTATGTAAAATTCCTACCAATTGTGTTACATTATTAAAAGCTTATTATAGTACATTTTAGTGGGTTGAAACAAAGGTAAAGTATTGTATTTTTTTTTTTTAACCATTGTCCTCCAGTCATTAAAACACTGTGAGTTTTCAGTCATTTGATTTAAAGAGACATTTCGCAGACATGTTGACATGTCTTACCAGCAAAAGCACAAGTGGAACTCCTAACATTTACGATCCAGTCCTGCAGTTTAATGTTATTAATTACACCTGTGTTTGACAAGCCAAAATTACTGCTCTGAAAAAGGTCATTTCAGCTGCACTTTTCTCCCTGGCCATGTGCATCCTCCAGTTTGGGACACACTGATCTATATTTATTGAATTGTTTCCATATATAGCCTCAGTGTAACAGGCGAGCCTGTTAACTCTGAGGCTAGACATTTTCTCCTTTGTTTAAAAGACGATTAACTCTTGCTGTTTTGTGTCAGTATTAGTGAAACTGTTTTTACTCCCCAGACTAACAGCAGAATCTCAAAAATGGACAAATATAGAATATTGTTAG